AAACTCTGCCTCCAGCTGCTGCTAAGCCTGCGATTGGGTGGCTGATAATGGCTTGGGCCTCACCCTCTTGGCAGTCCTGGGTTTCAGTGTCTGGGAGGCAGGTGGGGCCAGTTGAAGCCCTCAACTGACTTTTCACTTTCATTTTAAGGAGAGTGCTAGCTGGTGGCGGTGAGTGGAGAAGGGGAGGAGAGGAAGCGGCACATTTCTCTCCAAGGACCCCCTCCTCTAGGCAGTCTGGTGGGTTCTGGAGGAGGAATACCTGGGTTCAAGTCATACCACCACTTTCTTCTGTGTGTTCTTGGACAAGTTGCTTTATCTCTGGTCTCCTTTTCCTGTCTGTAGAATGAGGACAATTGAAATACCTTCCTTATGGTGTTGATATTTAGATTTATTGAAACCACTCTCAGCCCACTAAAAGCACTCAATAAATGTTTGGCTAGTATGATGATGATGATGATGATGATGATGATGATGATGATCATGATTTTGACCTTGGACCCAATGGAATCTCAAAAGGTCATTTTGTTTGTCTTGTTTCCTCCAGGCTAGTGGTCTCCAAATTTGTCTGCCCACTTGGGACCTTTGAAAAATTCCAAAGTCCAGAGCAGTAATTCCCAGTGCCTGGGAGGTGGGGGCGAGCAGGCAGGAGTGGTATTGGGCTCTCCTGCTGATCGCACTGTGCAGCAAGTTTGAAACCACTGCTCCGTGTTGTAGCACCAGTTGAGGGGTTTACCTCAGGGACAGTGCTTTGGCCCAGCAAATTTCCTCACCCTCTTATGATGATCTGAGGTTAAACATCTCCTTCAGGACAAGCAAAACTTCCTGCTTAATTTTAAATCATTTTTTTTCCTTGTTAGAGGGAATAGGGGATAGCTGCCATCTACCAAATCCTTGGTCAGTTGTATTATCAGGGTATCCTACCTCCCCATCCCCACCCTTCCAGGGAGGGACAGTGGCCCATTAGGGGCCATCCAGCCAACAGGAGGTAGACTGAGGTGTTGGTATTGGATGTTGACATCTGGTCACAGCTAGAGATCAAAAGGAACTTTCTACACTCTGCTGTCTGGGGCTTCCTCTTTTACTTTATCCAGTTTAACATGGCCTCCTCTAGTCAGCATGAAGACAAATACACACTTGGGTGAGTCTTGAAAAAAATTCCTCTCCAAGGCTTTGCTGGTACCTTCCATGAGTCACAAACTTAGCTCCAATTTTCCCCACCTTCTCCTTCAAGGCAGGAGGGCTATAGCCCCTCCATCCCCTCCTCATGGTGTCCATTTCTTCTTCTAGGCCTTGGTTGGTCTCTCCCTAGTCCCAAACCCCTGCCCCAGCACACGTGGCCTGATGCATGCAGCACATCCTTCGAGGCTGGCTTGGGCCAGGACCTTGTTTCTGTGAAGTCTTCTCCAGGTACTTTTCTCTCTAAAAACCCACAGCACTTATAGTTCTCAATGCTGTAACCATTGCCACGAAACAACACTAACCACGCTAGCCTCCATGTTCCCCAATTATGGTCAAGGGCTGTAAACATCAAATGAGCAGGGTTCAAACAGCTCAGTAAGGGTTGCTACATATGCTGCCCAAGCTCTTGATTTTCCCAGATGTCCACTCATTGGCCTTCACTTTAACCTAGGTGGGCGGGTCTCTGCTATTGGTTGACTTTGCCCAGCAATGGGATAGGCACTTTTGGGGGAGGTAAGGGGCTTCTGGTTCATGTGCTTTGGACCTAACATCAAGGAGTTTCCTATTTATTTAGAAAGGATAGAGAAGAGGTTAATTATGGGCATTCTTTACAAGTGGGCTTGGAAGTGAGTGGTGGAGGAAGGCCTTGCCGCACATGGAGAGGGGGCACAGGCTCTAGAGTCTGCAGGGAAGGCTCTTGAAGAGGCCCCACTTGGGGCCTCTTCTCCCCATCCACCTGACTCAGACTCCTCACCCTCAGGCAGCTTTCCCACAGTATTCCATCCCCTACCTCCCCTGAGCTTTCCTTCTCTGGCTGTCTTTACCATTGTGCCTGGCTTCACTTTTCACCATGAGTTGCACAGGTGTTAGGGTTAGGAATAGGGCTGTGTAGACCAAAGATGTCTAGAACTAGGGAAGCCAGCCATTGTGATTTGCCCAAGATTGTCCTGGTTTAAACACTGAAAATCTTGGTGAAGTCAGATAATTGTCATGCTACCAGGATCTGTGAGAAGCCGTGTTGATGTTTGCTGAGTGTATTCTAGTTCTCTCTGCCTTTTCCTACATGTCTTCCAGCAACAAATCCCTGAGAAATAGACACTGTGATTCTGTGAGTATCTGAAGCTCTAGAGTTGGTGGATTGCTTGATATTACACAGCCAGGAAGAAGCAGGTCTGGGAGCTGATTTGGGGCTCACTATCTCTTTTAGCCTATAGTGTCTCCTGGAGATGACCCATTAAATGGTTAACAAACACAGACAGCAAGAGGAGAATGACAAGAAGGCCTGGAAATCTCCCTGCCCTAGGCAGCTTCTCCTTGCTGCTGTTCTAGCCAACTCTTGTTCTTCCTACCATCTGCCCTTTCTCGCCTCTGTTGGGATTTCTACTCCAACTTTTGGGGGTTATATGGTGGTTCCATTCCAAGTGATTTTAGCCCCAACTTTTGCAAAAAAAAAAAAATATGTATTTAGTGCTTGAATACCAAGGAAAAGGACATTTAAAATCCTGGGAGAAAACCTCCTACAATCTGTAGTAGATCAATTCACTTTCTATGTTACTTTTTAAAACAAAATTCATTTGTTTTAATTGGTTATACATGACTGTAGAATGCATTTTGATAATCATATATAATGGAGTATAATTGCTCATTCTTTTGTTTGTGCATGATGTAGAATCCCACCAGTTGTATAGTTATATATGTACATAGGGTAACAATATCTGATCTGAAGAGGCCCCAAATGGGCTCCTTCCCCGACACCTTTGTGAGCCTTCCCTGCAGACTCCAGAACCTGTGCTCCCTCTCCACGTGCAGCAAGGCCTTCCTCCACCACTCACTTCCAAGCCCACCTGTAAAGAATGCCCATAATTAACCTCTTCTCTATTCTTTCTAAATAAATATTCTACTATCCTTCCTACCCCATACCCGTCCCCTCCCTTTACTCCCCTCTACCTAATCTAGAGTAACCCTATTCTTCCCTGGCGCCGCCCCCACCCTCCACATTGTAAATTAGCATCCGCATATAAGAGAAAACATTCGTCCCTTGGTTTTTGGGATTGGCTTATTTTGCTCAGCACGATATTCTCTAGCTCCATCTATCTATGGGCAAATGCCAAAATTTCATTCTTCTTTAAGGCTGAGAAATATTCCATCATATATATATATATATATATATATATATATATATATATGATTTTATCATATATATGCATATATATATACATATATGTGTGTGTGTGTGTGTATATATATATATCTCACATTTTTTTTTCTATTCATCTGTTGATGGGCACTATGGTTGGTTCCATAGTTTAGCTATTGTGAGTTAAGCTGCTATATACATTGATGTGGCTACAACACTATAATATGTTGATTTAAGTCCTTTGGGCATAAACCGAGGAGTGAGATAGCTGGGTCATATGGTGGTTCCATTCCAAGTTTTCTGAGGAATCTCCATACTGCTTTCCATAGTGGTTGCATCAATTTGTATTCTCACCAGCAATGTATGAATGTACCTTTTCCCCCCACATCCTCGCCAACATTTATTGTTGTTTGTATTCTTGATAGCTGCCATTCTATGTTGCATTATAAGTGTGCCTTCTTTGGACTCTTCCTTTTTATGAGATCATAGCCCAGACCCTATTGTATGTTCTGCTCCTTTCATTTAACATTGTGTCCATAAATGTTTTCCAGTTCTGTTATGAAGTCTTCAGGATTATGACTTTAAATAATTGTATCCAGGTGGGCAAACCATCACTTAGCTATTTTGTGGAGATTGGGCCTTTAGGGGTTTTTCTCCCTTCAAGTTGAAAAAATGTATTATTACATTTCATATGAGAACCACTAGATATTTTGGCCCAGAAGGCAACACACATTTTTGTTGGCTGCCAATAATGCTCATGAAATAAGGTTATCCCAGGCAGGTTATCTGTTCCACGAGGAGGAGCACAGGCCATTGCTGGCCATGGACTCTTTATTACTAGTTATTGATAAGTACAGAATTTTAGAGTAACCATTTAAGGACTTTCAACTGTAATTTTTGTCAATAGGACAATTTTTAATTGCTGAATCTAAAAATGAAGAAAAATTAAAAAAATAGGGCTTATGTTTTGTGCATCTCTGGCTTTTAAATCACCAAAGAGTAATTAATTTTATGCTATTTTATAAAAATATTGTCTATAACAAAAAAATTTGTCTATAACAGGATAGGAATGATAAAACAGAAAAAGAGACATTTTGTTTCCTGGTCTAGAAGACAATATTAGGTATTGGTAAATGCTTAACCAAAAACTTTGTTGTTGTAAAACAAAGATATAAAAGAAAAACCTGTTGCCCACCAAGACAGTGCTATGACTTCAGGAGTATCCACGTAATCCCAACTGTGGTCCCAAGGTCACTAGACACCCCCTAGCTTTGCCCCAGATCTCCCAGGCACACCCCCAAACAAACAAGTGGAGTTTCTTAGGAAGAGACCAACTAATGATTTGGGGGAAATTGTGCAGGAGTTTCCAGCAACTAGATCCTCAGAGATTATTGCTGTCCCATCTCCCAGTGGTAAGAGATGAATGATAAACGATCAAGTTGGGGAAGTTCGTCTGCAATGTAATTTCATATAGGTGTGAGGTTTGAAACAGATGTTCTGGCAGGCAAACTACACATTAATACTCCCCTCCCAAGATTCTGAAGGTGCCCAGCCCAGCAGATGTGTATATATAGGGACTGAGCCAGATCTCTTCCAAAGGAGTGGCAGCTCCTTCCCTCTTGATCTCTGCCTCCTTCCAGCTGCACTCTCGCTCCTGTCTGTGCCTCTGGTTGCTCCAGCAACCATGAGTCGCCAATTTAGTTCTCAGTCTGCATTTAGCTCAAGGAGCAGGCGGGCCCATAGTGCCAGGTCCTCCTCGGGCTTTGGTGGTGGTGGGAGTCGGACCGTGGGGTCTGTGAGTCAGGCCTGGGGCAGGGGTGGCGGTGGAGGCTATGGGAGCCATGGAAGGGGCTTTGGCTCGAGGAGCCTCTACAATCTGGGTGGCAGTAAAAGCATCTCCTTTAGCATGGTGGGGAGGAGTGCCAGTGGCTTCTGCCAGGGTCGGGGATCAGGAGGAGGATTTGGAGGGGGCAGAAGCTTTGGGGGTGGTGGCTTTGGAAGTGGTGGCTATGGAGGTGGTGGCTTTGGAGGTGGTGGCTTTGGAGGTGGTGGCTTTGGGGGTGGCAGATTTGGAGGTGGTGGCTATGGAGGAGGTAGTTTTGGGGGTGCTGGGTTTGGGGCTAGCAATTTTGGGCTTGGGGGCTTTGGTCCTTCTTATCCACCAGGGAGCATCCAAGAGGTGACCATTAACCAGAGCCTTCTAGAGCCACTTCACCTAGAGGTGGACCCTGAAATTCAGAGGATCAAGACCCAGGAGCGGGAGCAAATCAAGATTCTCAACAACAGATTTGCCTCCTTCATTGATAAGGTGAGTACCTTAGAGATAGGCAGAACCTTTGGTCACTGACCAAGTGACCTCTCACCAAGTGTGCACTTTTCAGTTGGATGATAATAATCAGTGATCACTTCTGTGTGTTTGTCCTAGGATAGGAAAGAATTTACCTCATTTAGGCTTCAACCTGTTTTCTTGGAGGGATTTATATCTACTTTCCCTTTTGGCAGGAAAACAGATAAAGGATGTGAAATACCTGATAGATATTCAGTGCAGTGATCTCATTCTTATTATTCACTTCTTATCCATCCATGCACACATCCTTCCCTCCTGCCCTCCTTCAGTTCATCTACCCACCCACCAACACATATGCTCTCATTCATCCATCCATCCACCCACCCTTCATACACATCCACCCATCTATTCATCTTTCCACCACCCATCTACTACATTGATTTATACACCACACTCATCCATCCATCCATCTTCCCATTAATATCTACACATAGCCTTCCCTCTTAGCTGCCTTCCTTCCATCCTTCCACTCACACATATTCATCCATTCGTCTATCCACTCACCCATACATATTTATCCATCAGTCCTTGTACCCACCCATCTATACACCCCCAAACTCATCCTCCCATAGCCATCCATCCATCCATCCATCCATCCATCCATCCATCCATCATCCATACATATCTATCATCCATCTTCCCATCACTGCACTTATTTATATACTTCCTACTTATTTATCCATCCATCCATCCTCCTACCCATCCAATACTATACCCATCTACCCACCCATTGAACCCACAAATACTAAGCATCTACTATATGTCAGACACTGTAACAGGTGCTATAGGGGTGAACAGGACACAAGTTCTGCTCTCAAGGAGACCCACATCTAAAGGGGAGAGTTACAACAGTGTATGGGGAGTATGTAACAGGGGTAGTACTCTCTGGCCATGATATCTCAAAAAGAGTGCCATGAGCTCCCTCCAAATCCTCCTGCTGCTTCCCATGAGCTTTGCCTGCTGGATTCTTGGAGGGCTTCTTTGGAGCCCCAGGTCTGACCTGAATCTTGAAGGTGGGGGAAGAGCCCTGCGGGCTTTCAGGGCAAAGGGAATTTTTAAGCAGAAGGCCCAGGAGGCATAAAGATACAATACCTTCAGGGAACTTCAAATAGTTAAAAATCCTGGATAAAAATGCATAATAGAAAGGAGAGGGGAGAAGAGAAGGGGAAACTGCCAAGACAGGCAGAAATAGCAGGCTGGCAAGCCATGGTAAGGCCTAGGCTGATGTGCTGGCCGCTGGTTATCCCTGGGAGCTGAAGTCAGTAACATACCATGTAGCAACCCTGAGTTCCTCCTAGTAGCTTACCAGGACCAAGAAAGGGCCAGATGGAGCCATGGAAGACCCTCTTTCTAGTTCCCTGATTAAATCTCAGACTAGGTCTGGTTCAGGCCCATGTCACCAGGCAGAGGCTGGTGGAATATCTATGGCAAAGAGCTTCCTTTAGCATTTCCTTTTGTCTAGAGGTAGCGGCACAGTGGCCACTGCCTGATATCTGGGCAAACACAGGGAACGGTACAGAACATGTGAGCACAGGAGGAGGTGGGGTAGAGTGTTGAGGCTTACAGACAAACAGGAGTTCCACAGAGCCAGGTGCTTCTGACTTCTCTGATCACTCTGAATGGGAAATTTGGGTGAATGTAATCGCACCTCAGGAACAGAAAGGGCTGGGAGCGTTTGGTTGGAGCAAGGATGTGAAGCCGAAGGAGATAACAGTAGGAGGTCAAGGTTATACTAATGGAGGAGAGGGAGGAAGAGCATTGTGGTCAGTGAAATGACCACAGGCTTCTGACAACTGATCTCCTGAGACTCTCATTGGGTTACGGTTCCTGTCATTGACAGAGTGTCTGTACAGTTTTATGGCATGGGCTTTGGGCAAAAGCCAAGGTATCAGAGGCTTTGGCTTCCAGTCCTTTCCCAAGGGCGTGGCCTGTGATGACCATGAAGAGAGGTTCCTCAGCCAGGCGGACTCCGGTCTGGATGGAGGCAGAAGCTCTCTAAGTGGTCTTCCTGCATTTCCCCTTAGCTCTGTGCAGCCTGCTCTCAAGACCAGAGCAGAGCACAACACTCATCCATTTAAAGGACGTTTCTTATCTCTTTTGGAATAAAAGCCCAATCCCATAAGGACCTATATGATCTAGCTTTGTTCCTGCAACAAGATTCTTTCTTTGGGTCTCCACAATGCCATGCTACCCAACACAGGGCTGTGAATGAGTGTAGAATTGACTGGGAGCATAACATGGAGTAAAAATAGATAGTGGCAGGAATGTCTCATCAGGCATTAATGAGCGAAGCTGATAAACCTGTTGCCCAATCTCTGACTTTGATAAAGCTAGCAAAAATGAGCCGTGGGAAATAATGCTCTATTTACATTTTCCAATGTAGAGTCAGAATCCAAAAGGAGTAGGCAAGGACTAACCCTTAGATGGACAGTGTCTCAGGGGCTGGGAGATTCTAGATACTCCCCTTAAGGCCACATTGTAGGGGACTGTTGGCAGGGTTCTGCTCTGACCATACAAAACAGAGGGGGTTGCCCTTTGCAAAGCTCTTGGAGAAGGGAACTGGATTACAGAGTGTTTGTGTGTGTGTGTGCGTGTACACATACCCATGTGCATGAGCAAAGCAGAGGCAGCACCACCATCTCCATCTATGCATGGGAGGGGAGGCTCCCTCTGTTGGCAACTAGAAGAGGGAAGGTGAGTGTAGGTCAGTAAGGTGTGAAGGGCAGTTCATGTGCTAGGTCTGAGCTGCCACCTCTCTGGCCCCTGTATACCATCTTTGTGTCCAGTTTTGAGGAAGGAATGAAGATACCGGGTGATGTCTACTCTATTTCCTGGGAAAAGCAACTTGGGTATTTCCAACACCTGCCAACCCAAAGTTCTTATTTCAGGGAACTTGAATATATTATACAATTTAGAAAATGAGAATATTTATTATTAAATTTCTCTCTGGGGTCTATAAACTTTTAAATATGGTAAATTTACTGAAAACCTTGCTGACAGGCAGCAGGGGTGGTGGTAGCTCTAGGGGCACTCAGATAAGCTTTCTCAGAAATTAATTAAATTAATTAATAAATTATTTTGAAGAGTGGGCATGAACCTAGAGATGCTCTACCATTGAGCAACATCCCTAACCCTTTTTATTTTCTATTCAGAGACAGGGTATCCCTAAGTTGCTGAAGGTCTTGCTAATAAGTTGCTGAGGTTGGCCTTGAACTTTAGGTCTTCCTGCCTCAGACTCCTGAGTGATTGGGATTACAGATGTACATCACTACACTTGGCTTCAGGAATTAGAATATTTTAATATTCCAAGCCCAGTTTTTTCTTCTCCTCACTTCTTCCTGTCCTCAATTGCATGACCCATGTCAGCCACAAGAGAAAGAGCCTTGGATTTGTTAGAGTTTCAGATGTTTCAAAACATTATTTCCTTATGTTGGCATGGATAAATTGAATGATGTCAATGGTTATAGCTAAACGAACATGGTACTCAGTTGGAGGCAATGCACCTTCAAACCAGAGTGAATCTCAGTGTTGATTTTATTCTTTTTTCTTTTTTGGTACCAGAGATTGAACCTAGGGGCAATTAACCACTGAGCCACATCCCTGGTCCCTTTTCATTTTTTTATTTAGAGACAGGGTCTTGCTGAGTTGCTTAGGACCTTGCTAAATTGTTCAGACTGCCTTTGAATTTGTGATCCTCCTGCCTTAGCATCCCTAGCCACTGGGATTTATAGGCGGGCACCACAGCACTTGGCTCAGTGTTAGTTTTAGACAAATTGACCTTATAAGCATTGGTCACCATCAAAAACTACATTGTCTTCTGTGTGTCCTTGTCACAGATGGGGGAAAGCTCTCTGACCTCTGGAGGAGCCATCTGATTCTCTGAGGTCTGCATGTGCATGGGGCTGCTGATTCCCCTTCCTGTGGGAGAGCTGCTCTGACCCATGGCCTGAGGTGGACCGGGGTCTTTGTTTTTTAGGTGCGATTCCTTGAGCAGCAGAACCAGGTGCTACAAACAAAATGGGAGCTACTGCAGCAGGTGAACACCTCGACGCGGAGTAACAACCTGGAGCCTGTCTTGGAGAGCTATATTAGTGAGCTGAGGAGGCAGGTGGATTTTCTCAATTCGGAGCAGATGCGCAAGAACACGGAGATCAGGGGCATTCAGGATGTCGTGGAGGACTACAAGAACAAGTGAGGCTTAAGGCGGGGCAAAGGGGTCTGGGAGGATCGTAGCAGGGAACTGATTCATAGGGGCAAGATATTTTGCTTCAGTGTCTACATGTAAGAGGTGGGACTGGGTCCATCAGGTGCAGTCATTCAGGCTCTGCATTGCACAACTGCAGGGGGTGCCATTTTGCATATGGCAGCCCTGGTAAGATGGTACTTGTCAATTGTATTGAGTGGGTTGGGGGAGCATAGTTTTATGGTTGTTGGAGCTAAATAAGCTCTGACACTTATTAGTTGCTTACAAATCAATCTGTCTTCAGTTCTCATATTAGTAAGTGAGGATAGTAAGTACCTTGCTGAATTATTGTGATGGGTTGGTCTGTGGTTCTCAGACTTCAGTGTGCATCAGCTTGCTGCAATCAGATCACTGAGTCCTCCCCAAGAGCTTCTGATTCTGTAGGTCTGGGGTAGGGTCAGCTCTTAGGCATTTCTAACATATTTTTTATTGATGTTGATGCTGGTGGTTTGGGGACCACACTTTGAGAATCATTAGTTCAAATGAAATTGGGCTTAATCAATTCTTAGTATTATACTTGCACATGCTAGGCTACTCAATATATTAATAGCAATGGTGGGGAGGGGGCAGGAGCTGTTAAATTTCAGATCAGCTGCTCTGAGCAACTGTGTAGGTGACTAAGTGGCCTTTCCCTCTCTCTTCTTCCCCATGTGGGGTGTTTCTCTTAACATCACTTTGACATTCTTCCTGTGTAATGCCAGTGTGGAGTCAAATGTATATGAATCAACAAGGGAAAAAATAAAACCCTGGGGGTGCTGGGGGCAGAATTATAGATATTTTTTTTCTCTTACAAATTTAGTAAAAGTGATTCTTAACTGGAAAAAAATGATTGAGTTTGACACTTTGCAAAGGTAAAACATCAGAATAAAAATGGGTATTTTGGGGGGAATTCTGTGTGGCTCTGGGTTTTCCTTGTTGGGTCCTTGTCCCTTCTGTTGGCTTAGAGAACCAGGAGGTGGCTCCAGCCATTTATCAGTGAGAGCACCAGGCCCTGGCAGGAGACAACTGTGTTGTAATCAGAACTCTCAAGTCCAGGACAGTAGATAGAGGTCTGGGGAAGTCTGAACTTTCTGCTGCTGGTGGGGGAAACATCAGGGAGCCAAGGTCAGCTGCTGCAGCCACTCTGTGCTCTTTGCCTCCCCACAGGTATGAGGAAGAAATCAACAAAAGGACCAGCACTGAGAATGACTTTGTGGTTCTGAAGAAGGTGAGGGGAAGGGAAGTCCCTGGGGGGCTGTGGATGCAGAAGACTGGGTGGGATGAAAAATCCCTGTGACTTGCAAGATGACCTCTAGGGCCAGCTTGGTGTGCATTGCCCAAATGCATAGCCCTTATACTGAAGGGAAAATTGAAATTGACACTAATGTGACTCTTTGGGAACCCTCTGGTTCTTGCCTCTCCAGGCTTCTGAAAATGAAATTAAATTAATTGACAGCTTTTGAATGTCAGTCATATGCGGGCTTGGGACTTGGGGAGGTTCAAGGGTGCTGTGTGTGATTGACCAAGGTGTGGAGGTTGATGTCTATCTCCTTCTGACTGAGAAAGCCATGGTTTGCAGGCCTCTTATTTGAGTAAGGTGATGACATTTTTAGACAAGGAAAAACCCAGAGAGGATTTGTCACTTTCCTGGGTGGAAAGACAGGTGTGGTAGAAAATACCTGGTGGTGGATAATGTGGTGGATAAGCAAACCATCTTTGCTTGTTGTTTAGGATGTGGATGCTGCTTTCATGGGTAAAGTGGATCTGCAGTCCAAAGCAGACACTCTGCTTGGGGAGATCAATTTCCTGAAATATTTATTTGACACAGTAAGTTCAGTCCTTATAGGAAACCCTGTTCTTATCTCACATCTCATAAGGGGAATGTGCTGAAAGAGGGGAGGCCTGAAATCCAGTAGTACCCACCAGGGGTTTATCTTCCCAATCACTCAACTCTGTGGGCCTGGAGTCAGCTGTTTCCTCACCCTCCAGTCCTCCGTGTTCCTGGGTGGGGGCAGTGGAGATGGAGACAGTGAGATCCTAAGGTTGGAGGAAAAAAAGTTGTCTCTGCTTCATGTCTTCCAATCTGTCTGGGAAATGAGGTTGACACCAAGACATATAGGAGCAAAACCAGCCAGAAATTGTCATGCATTCTGGGACATCAATAGGGCTGTTAGAGAACTCTGTGGGAGATGACTATGGATTTTAAAGGGAGCGAGGACAAACTGCAGGGGTGTGGGATAGTACACTTGCGCACCCCTGGTCCTCCTATCACCCATGTCTAACTTGGGGACACATGCTCTGGGCCAGGTGCTGATAGGAGCTCTACTTATCTTCTGGGTGTCTCTATTCTACAGAACAGAAAACTGAGCCACTTTCTCAGTAACCCAGCTAGTCAAATGGCTCCATAACTGCAGTCCTTTCTATTTCCTTTGAAAGCACATGAGCTAATATGCTTGTCAGAGGGTACAGTTCAAGATGGCGGCCAAGCAAGAGTAAGGTTGGGATGGAGGACACAGGTGAGGCCTGATGGGAAGGTGGGGCCATGAGGGCTCTAAGTTCAGAAGCCTGCCTCCCCCCTGGAGGGTAAGCCTGGGTCCCATTACTTTATTTGAAGCAATTAAGACTCTCCCCATTCCCTCTTTTTGCATACAACAATTGAAAGAACTTTCCTCTGAGGCTCCTTCCTGGTCCAGGCTTTTGGCCTCCCCAGGGAACCTTAAGAGAAACTGAGACTCTAGGAGAGTGGAAGGGGTCAATGGTACTCCATGTCTCACAGGAGCTGTCCCAGATGCAGACCCACATCAGTGACACCAATGTCATCCTGTCCATGGACAATAACCGCTCCCTGGACCTGGACAGCATCATTGATGCAGTGCGGGCTCAGTATGAGCTGATTGCACAGAGGAGCAAGGATGAAGCCGAGGCGCTGTACCAGACCAAGGTGAGCTCTGCCCCCAGCTTACACCCCTGAAATAGGCAGATGCTGCCCAGAGCTGGTAGTTCTTCTTCTTATTTTAAAGTTGTTATAGAAACTTTAGAAATTATGGTAAGGATCACCCATATCTCACCACCAATATGATGTGTTCAGATGTTTTCTGTGAGTTCTTTGTAGCTAACGTATAGGGAGAACTCATAGGGGCCAGGCACCACACAAATGCTTTATATATACTATTTTATTTAATCCTTGCAATAACCCCATGAGGTAAGGATTTCATTATCCCCATTTTACAGATAACAGTATGAGATTCCTACATATAGCAAGTGACATCAGAACCTAATTCAAGAGCACTATCTATAAACCTTTGCTCTTAATCATTAGAATTATTTTAATCTTTTTCATAATGGTACCTGTTAAAACAGAGTTTGATTCCTTTCAGTTTTACTTATCAATTATGAATGCCTTTCTGTTCCACTACATAGTCTACATTTTTAACAGCATGGTATTTCATTTTGAGATGATTCCTTCACTTATTAAATAAATACATTCACAATTTAGTCTTTGGTTACATCTTTGGTTACTTCTTTACTATAAATCAACCTTGGCCTTTGTGGATGATAAAGATTCTGTGTTGAAGAGACAAAGGTTGACCGCCCAGTCAACTAAATTCTGAACAACTGGCATTTGATGATTTGCTATGAGTTATTGTCCGTGGCCAACTCCAATCCCAGCTGATGTCTGTCCCACTGACCTGCAGACAGGTATTCTGGGATGGAATAGATTTTTTTTGGCATCAAACAGGAGAGGCAGAGTCAGCAGTGAAACATCAGAATACAGATTCGCTTGAATTAACTCTCCCCCCACCATGTCCTGTGGGTTGAGTTCTATTGGGGGCAATGGAGACACAGAAACAGAGACAGGAAAATGTGAATGAATGTGGAAGATGCTGAGGGCTTCTGAGGATGGGCGGCCCTGCCTGCTAGGGAAATCACTCTGGAAAAGAATATGAAGGAATATGGTGGAGTATAAAAAGTGAGGGTAAGAACCAGTGTGAAGGCTTAGGCATGTGAAAAAGGGCATCAGGAAGCAACTTTGGCTGGAATACAAACCTACCCAGAGTGGGAATGAAGGGCCTTTAGTACAGAGGTGTGTGTATGTATGTGCATATTTGGGGCTCAGGTGAGAGATTCAGTGTGGATATGTATGTGTACATGTGTAGAACCACAGCTCCAGATGGGCTTATTCTGGAACTTCCCAGGGGAGAGCAGCCTAGACCCATCCCTTCTTGGAGGAGTTTGAGGTGAGTAGCAGGTGCTGACCATGATGTCACCTTTGACCTTAGTACCAGGAGCTCCAGATCACAGCAGGGAGACATGGAGATGACCTGAAGAATAGCAAGATGGAGATTGTTGAGCTCAACCGCACCATCCAGAGGCTGCAGGCAGAGATTGGCAATGTCAAGAAACAGGTAGGACAAGTGCTCAGGGTGGGTTGGCCAGTCCTCTTGCCTTCCATAATGTTCTGCTAGATCAGCTTCCCCAAACTCAACACTATGTGTTTCTCCAACTGTCTCTGGCATAGATTGAACAGATGCACTCATCCATTTCGGATGCAGAGGAGAGAGGAGAGCGAGCTCTCCAAGATGCCAAGCAGAAGCTACAGGACATGGATGAGGCCCTGCAGCAGTCCAGGGAGGAGCTGGCCCGGCTGCTGCGTGACTACCAGGCACTGCTGGGAGCCAAGCTGTCCCTGGATGTTGAGATTGCCACCTACCGCAAGCTGCTGGAGGGAGAGGAGAGCAGGTGGGTGTAGCAGTCATGTTTCTCAGCCAAAATGAGGATGTAGTCATGGACCGTGTGCTTCCAGGATGGAGAGAAAATAATCTTCCCAGATTTCTTGGGAAGATTGGTGGTCCAGTGTAAGCAGAAATATTAGAGTTAGAAACAGAAGATGTGTGAATTGGCAGGGTATAGGAAAAGTCATTGTGACCATCACCCACCTCCAAGTACAGTGTCTCCATATCCCAGCTCACACCAATGCCACCAGGTGGACAACCCCAATGCTAAAAGATTTCCTGAAAATGTCCTCTGGCCCCACTGTCTCCCTGGCCTCTGCCCATGCACACAGTTTCCCGAGGCTTGGGGACATCTCTGCTTCTATTATCTTCAGATTGCCTTCACTGATGTCCTGATGCTTCATGAGTGTGGTTAATGACTGTATTTTGGTTTTACAGGATGTCAGGAGAGCTGCAGAGCCATGTGAGCATCTGTAAGTACCAGAGTCCAGGGATAGAGGCTGGTTGGCACTGGGCAGAGGATGGGCTTGGTAGGGTTGCCAGGTGACCAGCAGGGATTGGCATTGGGCGCTTTTGCTTCTAATCTAGAAGAAAGAATACCTAAGTATACTAATGTCACCACAAAGCCTAGAAGAATTTGTTGCAATGGTTATGATTTATTTATTTATTTATTTTTAGGTCTGTGTATCTTAAACTTTTGTGATACCTAATCTCAGCAGTGACTAGAACTCTTTAGGGCATATATTCAATAAACAAGGAGAATGTGTTACTTAAAGGAGCGCTGACATCCTTGTAGTATGAAGAGCGATTTTTAAATGGAAATACTTTTGATGTCCAAAGTGTATATTTGCAAGTCGGCGGTTATCTATTTGCAAGTTGATGCCACCAAAGATCAAGGATGTAGGAGCCCTTAGGTTGAAGAGGTAGTGCAGTTAAGTCCCCCTGCCAGGTCCTTCTGAACCATTTACGCGGTCCTCTCCTCAACAGCGGTGCAGAGTAGCCAGGTATCCATGGGCGGTGGCTACAGTGGCGGAGGCGGTGGCTACGGTGGCGGAGGCGGAGGCTACAGCGGCGGCGGCGGAGGCTACAGCAGCGGCGGCGGAGGCTACAGCAGCGGAGGCTACAGTGGTGGAGGTGGAGGCTACAGCGGCGGCGGCGGCGGCGGCTACAGTGGCGGCGGCTACAGTGGTGGAGGCGGTGGCTACAGTGGCGGTGGCGGCGGCGGCAGCAGCAGCAGCTCCCGCGGGGGCGGGGGAAGTTACGGAGGAGGGCGCGCCAGAGGCGGCAGTGGAGGCGGCTATGGGAGTGGCGGCGGCGGGAGCTATGGAGGAAGCAGTAAAAGCAGCAGCAAATACAGTGGCGGCTCCTCTCGGGTGCAGATCATCCAAACCTCCACCAACACCTCCCGCAAGCGAATCGTGGAGTAGGGGCAGAGCAGCGCCTCTCAGGGCTCACACACAGGATGCGCCCCCTGGCTCTTCTCCTGTCGCCTCCCCGCTATGCCCTTCCTGACTCCCTCTCACTTAGCTTTTCCTGATGGGTCTCAGCAGTTTTGCTAATAAATTCCACTCTAGGCGAGGAAGCAGGGTGGATAAGCACAAATAGCAGCTCTCTCTTTGGAGGGCACTGGCTTGTGGTCAAAGGCAGTTACACTCTCACTCGGGATCCCCTGTCTGACCCTGCTCCTTACCCTGGGGACACTAAGGCACATAGTTGATGGACAGGAAAGTCGCAGAGCTTCTGCAAGGTGGATGATTGAGAGTACCTCAGGTTTACCAAGCATCTCAACCCCAGGCTTCCTTTCTTGTACCTTGGCAGCTGCATGATCCACAGTCCATCCCTCAGGTTGCTCACAAAATGATCCCTATGGGCAAGTAGCTGGCTTGGTAAGAGGAAACTACCAGGGGTCAGTTCCTGATTCTTTGTAACCTCATACTTTGACCTTGATGGTTGATGTACTGACTATCTGAGATGCCTGTAGGTCATGCCTGTCCTGATTCTGAATTTCTATGTTGAGAAGCATTATCCCTCTGGTTTACAGCCCCCTGTGGGAGTATGTCAAACCCCCTGTTTTTGTCTAAAGGGAGGATTGTTCTTAGCAGTGAATGGAGGTATGACGGACAGATGATCGAGTTCTGTTTCTGTCCTGCCCTCCAGACAGCTCCATCTTTGGAAGATTGCCCCTTCCTGCACTCTGCTCCATTATGGGTCTGCAGAGAGTTGCCTAGTGGGCTGGGCATCTGCAGCCCTGTTCTGATCCACCCAGGGTGCCCAGGGCTTGAAGCCTGAGGACTGTGAGGATCTGACTTGGGATAGTTCCAGTCCTGAGCCAGTCTGGAAGCTGCCTGTTTTTGTCCCAGGCAGTTAATGCCCTTTTCCAGACCTCACAAGTCCCTTTTCACTTCTGTTCTCTTTGAGCACTTTGTGAGACTTTGACTTCTACTTTAGGGTCTTATAAAAGGTGCTTGAGACATGCTGGAGAGGTCTGGCAGGGGAAAATGTCAGCCAACATGTGGCTTGAGAGGGGGAGTGTGGCTTTGCTTCTAGGATCTGGAGTCCCCTTCACTGGCTTCCTGAGTCTCGACACCAACCTCCACATCCGTGATTCTGTTGGGGCATCTGAGGGGCTCTGTGGGGGGTCCCTTGGGAATTACCTTTGACTTCATCATTTCCTGGTTGAAAGGTGTACCTTGAAGGGCTTGGCATTTCCAGTCTTTCTAAAATAAATTTTTCTGTGGTCTCAAAATGTCACTTGGTCTGGAAATGAGTTATTTTTTTCTTGTCTTTGAAATTATTCATATTTGGGAAATTAAGGTTTATTATTTTTATCATTTTTATTGTACAAGTAATATATAATCTTGAAGAGCCTTGCTCTTAATTAATAAGACATAATCTTATTAATCTTTAAAGTGGCCTATCATTCAAAAGCCAATTACATGTTTGTTCAACAGGCATTTATTAAGCTCCTGGTGTGGCAGGCAGTGACCTGGGCACTGGGAAGGCAGTGTTGGATGAACACGTCTCTGAATCTTAAAGTGCTCACAACTCAGATGATCTATTATGGGGGAGAGGGAGGCTTTGATAGGGGAGAAGCCAGTGTGTATGCCTCTATGGACCACCTAGCCTGAGGGTGGAAGCAAGGCCTTCTGAGGACATGGGTAGACCCACCAGAAAGGAGCAGTGGGACCAACAATAGGTGCCAGTGCTGGGGAAGGGAGTTTGGTCCCAACAGACTTCAAGAAGACTGGAAAGTAGAAGAGTAGGGGCAGGTGTTGACAGAGGTCTAGTATGCCCAGAGACTCGAAGGTAAGAGAGAATGGATGTGTGTGAGCAAAAGGGACAGCAGGATGGGAGAAACCAAACAGGGAGGCAAGGGGCTGAGGTCCAGTTACCGAGTGGGGGTCAAGGGCAGGAACATTTTGGTCGATGCCTTGAGAGAAGCAAAGTTGCAGAAATTTAAAAATGGAGCAGGTTAAGCCATCGCCTTATCCTGTATGGCATTTCGGAGTCCAAGTAAAGGACTCACATAATAGTTATGACTTGCCTGCTTGTTCCCTGAAGGAATAAAGATGGAATTTGGATATGGGGTTCATTCGAACACAACCGTAACCCATATTGAAAAGACATTGCATTCCCAGGCACACCCGACAGTCACTCTGAGAAATTTCTTCCCGTCTCACCTGTCTTGGCAGCAGGCCTATTGGGGAAAGGCTGAGAAGAGAGCAGGTGGGCAGAAGGACTGCCCAAAGGGAAGAAGAGGAGGGCGGACAGTGCAAAGTCCTATTTTTAAAGTAAAAAATGAGCGCACAAGGACTAGGCAGGGAAGATGTGGACAGACAGCTGTGGACATAAAAATGATTGACAGTGTTCAGCTGACAGTGAGAACACATGAGTCAATGGGGCGTGGTGGTTGCTGGAGAAAGCCATGGGAACTAGGAAGGCAACAGCCAGGAAGAGGGATTGTTCTGTATTTGGACCCTCTGAAGGCTCTGAATGCTGAGGACAGTGATAAATAATAGGAGCCTATTGAGAACAAAGTGACCAGGACCATGGTGGTGGTAAATCAGAAGCCTGGCTACATGAGGGATGATGGGAGGACCTGGACAGTAGTCGCTGGGAGTAATGGAACAGCTAATTGCAAAGATTTGAAGAGCTTCCATAGGAAAGGGGGGTAAGTCCCAGCTGATGACCCAGATGCACATGTGAGATCTATAGCAGATTTGGCTGTATGTCAGAAGCACCTTTCTATTGATCCTGAGATGGGCGAGGCCACTTGGAGAGTTATCAAGTTTCAAGCAGAGGCTGGCTAGCTGTCTAGCAGGAGGTTGAGGGAGGGAGTGGAACGTGGGTGGGGATGTGTGTATGGAGGAATCCCATATCTTTGCCACCCTAAGAGTCCATGTGGTAGAGCCTGAGAAAAAAGGAATTCTACTCTATGGGAAAAATAGGGTCAGATGCCAGGGAAGGAGAAAGTCATGGTCCCAGACAACATTCTAAAATGAATCCAAGTTTTCTGGCACCACCAGACCTACTTCAGGGTGTGGCCTGATTATCCCTGGAATCACACATGTGTGTATGATGCTCTAAGGGAATCCAGGTCAGCTCTGGGAAAAAGCATAAGGGCAAGGCCAGGCCAAGGTCATCTTCCCCATCCTTCTCCTGGGCAGGAATTGGGGTTGTTCCAGAAAATGTGGCTTTGACTTTTCAGAAGACTTGACTATCTGAATCAAGAGAGGACGAGGGAGGGATGGAGGGAACAATGTGACCCAATCCTAGGAATGTTGGAACCTAGATGCCACAGGGCAGGGAATTAATAGCCAGAGGGAAGAAGAGTCAGTCACAAAAAGGAACCAGGGTCCAGGGGAGAAGTCTGTTGATGTTCAGGGAAAGAGGGAGTTACTCTAGGGACCTGAGAAATGGGAGCTAGCACCAAAAGACACTGGAGGAGGTTTCTTGGTATAGACAGGGAGAGTGTTCCACAAAAGCAAATGCCCCTCACCTGCAAGTCACCCCAGAGAAAACAGGAAATTCTATGAACCATGCACAAAACACCTCACATACATTATCTCATCTAGTTCTCACTGTGTCTGGGAGAGGGCTGGGGAGACCACCTGTGGGTGGGCCATCCAGGTATGGAGCACTCCCTCCCTGCCCTGATCAGGCTTTCCCACAGCAGATACCCATGGGAAGAGCAAAGCTGGCCCATCTATTCATCAGATGGAGGCCATCAGGAGGGAGCGACTTACAGGTGGTGAGATCCGAGGGGAAGTCTGCCAACCGCTCCTCCCTCTGGGAGGCTGTGGCAGGGCGGAGCACTCTGGAAATCTAAATTTAATTCCACCAGCTTCTCAGTTACAGAGATTTTTATCTCAGGGCATTGCAAACAGGAAGAGCAACCATTGGCTCAATAGAATTCTAACTCCTTCTGACCTTGGACAAGATGTGTGTTTCTGGGCTGGGAAAGCTCTTGGTCTGAGGAAGAGTGTCTTGAGAATGCCGCCTTGCCCTCATTACCCTGCCCAGAATGTGTCTTCACAACAATGAGTTCGGTGCTCCACCAGTCCCGCTTCAAGTCCAGTGTAACTCGCACGGTTTTGTTGGACTTGCTGCCCTGATTTTATCAGCTTTCCAAACGGGGGACGTCTTCTAGTTGATCAACACCCTCTTGCAGGGTTGGGCTGGGAACTGGGAGTGCTGGGAGGTTCTCCAGCATGGACAATCAGTTCCAAACGGCCCAGTCCCAAACCTGGAAGAACTTCTGGGGGGCTCTTTGTGTTCAGCTCAGCTTCCACTCCTGTCCCAGGGTGGTCATCCCTTGGAGCAGGTCCTCACCCTGCATAACGCACATTCCAGAGGGAAAGCAGGGTCCTTCACATCTAGCCCTAGATTTCTTCGGAGTCTGGTGTGCTTAGCGTCACTTCTACGCGGTGGACCCCTAGCTTCCCTATGACAGGTTGGGCTTTATGGGCCCTCAGACTTTCTCTTACAAAATAACCTAATTTCAAAAACTTAAACTTCTTTTTCTATTTCCAGTGAAACAGGGGCTTGTTCCAAAGTTTTCTTGATTCTATCAGTCTTTGGGTCCTTCCAAATGCAAGAGTGAGAAAGAATTCTCCCTTTTCTCTTTATCATTTACTCCTTGTAGTTTCCTTGGAAGGTAGATATAGTCCCAGCTTTACAAAGGAGAAAATTTATGCTCAGAGAGGGTTGCTGATCTCCCTAGGGTCACACAGCTAGGGACATGCAGTCAGGAGTGGGACCCAGGTCTAACTGACCCCCACAGCACAGAGTAGACACTGTCCACTGCCTCTTTCCTGCACAAGCATCTTTGGCTTCCTGCTGCTGGGCTGCTCTGCTCCCACACTGCCCATGCATGGCTCCTGGGGGCCGCCTTTGCTGTCTGTCTTCAATAGGGCCGCCCCTCTTC